ATGGCAAGTGTAGGTTCCTTCCACACCTCAGAAGCTCAGGCTATTTCGGTCTCAGGTAATATCAGACAGTGACAGAGACGATCCATTTGTAATGAATGAGTGGCAAATAGGCTGTCATATTGGGATCCCTTGATTGAGGGAGTGTGAAATAAAGAGGCCTGTAGTAGTGCTTCTTAAACTGCTAGCTGTGTGTCAGAATCACATGGAGTGCTTTGGAAAAACGTCTGCACCCAGACCAAAATTCAGCATACTCATCCTATAGTCAGCCCTGTGGAACTCCTGAATACAAAAATTTGGCCCTCCACATATACGTGGTTTCTTATCCTGCAAATACTGTATTTTTAATCTGTGTTTGGTTGTAGATGCAGAACCTACCGATACGGAGGCCTGAATGCATTTATTGAAAAAACCCACATATAAACGGAACCAAGTAGTTCAAACCCGTGTTGTTCAAAGGTCAACTATATTACACTAAATAGCAATTTGGGTTCACTTCTGGAAATAGAAGCTGGTGGTTTGGACTAGTTATCCCTCTAAGAACAACTAGAAAAGCTGGACAAAATATCAAAATATTTGAGTATACCTGAGAGTTCCCAAAGCAGTAAGGATTTAGGGGGCCAAGAGCTGTAAGAAGAGTGAAGCTCAGGTAAGAATGGCATTTGGACTTGCATGTTTGTCAATTCCAAATCAGCAGGAGAGTTCAAAAAGCCCTGTGTTGCTTTTAGCAAACTTATAGGGCTATGGAAACAAAACTGAAATTCAGGACCCACAGAAGAAAGGCCCCAGAATACCCTTCGGACTTGGGTTGGGACCCCAAAGCTTTATAGTTCGTAACCTATTTAATGGAGAGCAATAAATAGACAAGCCCTCAAAAGAACAGAAGTCTAGTGTTGAATGATCTCTACCCGATCTAGGATTGCAAATGCCCCTAGCCTAGTCATTTGCCAAAAACCAGGACAAATTTTCTCTGGAGAAGAAACCGTCTAGAGCTTCAAATATCTATACTTTTACAATGGCATTGTCCCATTCTCGATAAAAAATAACCAGGCATGTGAGGAGATAATACAATAAGCTTCTAAACAACAACAAAAAAAGGTAACAGACAGAGACCCACAGGGGACTACATAAAGTAGCAATGCTTGGTATGTCCAGAGAATTAAACGGCAATTTACAACATCTGTTATATTTCTTCATTTTTGCATAAATTAATTGAGTTCTTATATTTTTAAATATAGCAAGGAATTAATATGTTTCGCTATTTTAAAGAGTTGTATTTGGGGTTTTTTTGTTTTTTTTAGATAGAGTCTTGCTGTGTTGCCCAGGCTAGAGTGCAGTGGTGTGATCATAGCTCTCTGTAGCCTCAAACTTGTGGGCTCAAGCAATCCTCCTGCCTTAGTCTCACAAGTAGCTGGAACTATAAGTGTGCACCACCACGTCTGGCTAATTTTTTTAAAAAAATTGTTTGCAGTAGAGACAGGATCTTACTGTGTTGGCCAAGTTTGTCTCAAACTCCTGGGCTCAAGCAATCCTCCCATCTCATCCTCCCAAAGTGCTGGGATTACAGGCATGAGCCACAGCCGCCCAGCCAAGTGTTCTATTTTATTAAACAAAAATTATACAGGGAGTGTTAAAACTATGAGTGTTACTAGGAACTGTATCTTTGGGTTGAATTCACCAATATCTAAGGAAGTTTGTTTCAGTCTGAGGAATAGTACAAAACTGCTGCATAAGGAAAGCTACTGAGAGACAGGAAGGTAGTAGATAGGAGTGGTCTTAGATGCAGATGCCATAGTTCAGATAGGCTGCTGCTTGGACTTAGATACATATTCAAGATCATCATCTCAATTATTTCAAACAAATTTTATTTTCTTTGGCTAGAGTTATATCCTATTTATTTTTATTTTTATTTTTTATTTATTTTATTTTTTTATTTTTGAGACGGAGTCTTGCTCTGGCACCCAGGCTGGAGTGCAGTGGCCGGATCTCAGCTCACTGCAAGCTCCGCCTCCCGGGTTCACGCCATTCTCCTGCCTCAGCCTCCCGAGTAGCTGGGACTACAGGCGTCCGCCACCACGCCCGGCTAGTTTTTTGTATTGAGACAGGGTTTCACCGTGTTAGCCAGGATGGTCTCGATCTCCTGACCTCGTGATCCGCCCATCTCGGCCTCCCAAAGTGCTGGGATTACAGGCTTGAGCCACCGCGCCCGGCCTAGAGTTATATCCTAATTCTTGTGTAAATTCTTGAACGTTTTATGTTCTTTTTTTTTTTTTCGCTGGTGTTGGACACATGGTTTTTGCTTGTGTTAGACATACGGATATTGATCAAACCAAATTTACTTGGTCTTTGGATCTTAGAAATATGTGCCTCTTTGCTTTTTATACTTAAGACTCTGGCTTTGCTGCTAGCCCCAAACATCCCAGTCATCCAGGTTACACTTAAAAGGAGCGTTGCTCAGTTATTGATGGGTTATATTGTCACTAACACAAGATCAATGATGCCTGTATAAGCTATTCAGAAAATAATCTTATCAGGCAGGAAAGGGATAGCAACAATATCATCCTGGGAAATACTGCCATAAAACATTGCATGTTACCTTTAAATGTGCCTAATGAGTCATTAGCCATATACTATACTGCTACACAAAGGCATATATGTAATATGTAAACATAAAATGCAAAAATCATGACATACATTTTCCCTTCTCCACATTCTCAACTTCCATTTTATGCAGTGTTTTTCTGTGTATTTCTAAAATATTCCATTTCACTATGGATAGTTCTATAAATTATTTGGGAGCAGAATTATTGGCTGTGTCTACATAAAAAATAAAGTAGTAATGTAAGAAGTTTGTGATAAAGCTAAATTATATAAACTACCGATATGTATTTACTTGTGCTAGAAACAAACTCCTTTGTCTTATCTTAGAGTTCTACATGGAAACATGTTCTGATATCCTGGTAAATCAAGAATAACAAAAATCTGAGTGAGTTGTATTTTGTGCCATAATCAGAATACTTGATTCTGATTATGAAAATGACAGATATTAGCTACACAAATAATGTTTTTTTACTTTAGATTCAGACTTGCTTGTCCAACTTTCTTCCAGATATCTCTACCTGAATTTCCCATGGGCATCTAAAACTTAACATCTATAAAATAAATCCCAGCCCTTCTCACTTTGATCCTCTTGTCCACCCCAATCTCCTTTTCCTCACTTGGTCTCTGCCTAAGTACAAAGCACTACAATGCACCTAGTTACCAAGCCCCAAAGCTTGCAGTCATCCTATTGAATGGGGTACAGTAGTGATGAAGAACGCAGGCTCTGAAATCAGACTTCTAAGGTTCAAATCCAGCCTTGCAACTTGTTAGCTGTGTGACCTTGAGCAAATTGTTTAAGCTCACCCAGACTTAGTTTTTTCATCTGTAAAACTGCACTAAAACATCGGGCTAAAAAAGTTTGTTTCACTCTGAGCAATAATACAAAACTGCTGCATGAGGAAAGCTACTTGGAGACAATCAGGTGGTAGGTCTTAATCAGAACACTTACATGAAAATGTAAGTAAGTAGGAGTAGTCTTAGATGCAAATGTCATGGTCTGTTTATTCGTTTTTTGAGATAGTCTTGCTCTATTGCCCAAGCTGGAGTGCAGTGGTGTGATCTCAGCTCACAGCAACCTCTGCCTCCCGAGTTCAAGCAATTCTCGTGCCTCAGCCTCCCAAGTAGCTGGGACTACAGGCATGTACCACCAAGCCCAGCTAATTTTTAAAAAATGTGTTTTAGTAGGGATGGGGTTTCACCATGTTGCCCAGGCTGGTCTCAAACTCCTGATCTCAGGCTATCCACCCACCTCGGCCTCCCCATGTGTTAGGATTACAGGCATGAGCCACCGTGCCCAGCCCACAAATGTCACAGTGCTCATGTAGGCTGCTTAGTGTATAGTGTCATAGCTGCTGCCTAACTAAACTATGTGTGAAAATCAAGGTCACATAGCTAACAAATGGCAAGGCTGGATTTAAACCTTAGCAGTCTGATTTCAGGGCCTGTGCTCTTCATCACTACTGTACCCCATTCAATAGGATGACTGTGAGCTTTTGGGCTTGGTGACTGGGTGCACTGTAGTGCTTTGTACTTAGGCAGAGAACAAGTGAGGAAAACTTGTTACCCAGAATAAATGAGATAAGGACAGTATCCACGCTACCACCAATGTCCAATTAATTTGTAGTTCTATTGATTCCACATCTTAGTATTTCTTTTTTCTGAACTCTCCTTTACAATTCTGATGTGTTTGGAAAAATTTTATAGCATTATGCATGCACTAAATGCCAGTGAAAGACCAAGTATGACATATTTAGGCTATCCCTTCCAAGTGCGCAGAGAAATTGCCTTACTTGGCTTTCTAGGCAGACTTTTTCTTAAGCATATCAGTTAAAGTTTGCATTAAATCCTGACATTAATTTGGGGCAACATAATTGAGCTCAAGAAAATTCAGAATTGTAATTACCATCTACACTAGTAAAATATTATACATAATAAATATTTTATAAACTAGGAATATTCAGAAAGCTAATCTAGTATATTTTAACTCATAACCCTTATAAAATATGCCATACAACTTTCATTTAATATACATTGCATAATCTGAGACAAATATAAAGTAATGTTTTAAAACTCTGAACTGGGCCAGGTGTGGTGGCTCATGCCTGTAATACCAGTACTTTGGGAAGCCCAAGTGGGTGGATCTCTTGAGGTCAGAAGTTTAAGACCAGCCTGGGCAACATGGGAAAACCCCATCTCTATTAAAAATATAAAAAATTAGCCAGGCATGGTGGTGCACAACTGTAGTCCTAGCTACTCGGGAGGCCAAGGTGGGAAGTTGAGGCTGCAGTGAGGCATGTTTGCACCACTGCACTCTAGCCTAGGCAATGAAGTGAGTCCCTGTTTCAAAAACAAACAAAGAAACAAATTCTGAACTGAAAATTTAAGGTGGTTATGATAGTTACATTTTTGATTTTGTAATGCTGCAGGACTTGTCTTCTTTGATCTTTGATATTGCCTTAGATGCGGATGTAGCAACAGCCTCTTCAAATTCCAACTGAAAATCAAATGTCAGGGGTAGAGCCATAGTTGTTTTTCTTCCTTCACTCTGAAGCCTGTTTATCTGCAGCAAAGCCAAAGTGGAAAAAAAAAAATGAGTACTTTTTATATGGGGAAAATCTTAGGTGGAGAGAAAAAAAATCTCACTTTACACACACACACACATACACACACACACACACACACACACACACAGAGAGAGACAGAGAGAGAGAGAGAGAGAATTTAGGTGGAAGGCAATAATGGAAAAATAGTACAGATTGAAAATTGGGGGTCTAGTGCACCAACTATTTTTATGCCTTTGCTGTGTGACCTGAGCCGTTCTTTTCCCAACTGTAAAATGTGGGGGTAGGACTAGAGGATTATTAAGGCTCCCTCCTAATTCTAAAATACAGAATGTAAGGAAAGACCTAGATATTTAGATGCAGAGAGCTCTTGGAACCATAGTAGGCATGTCTCTCCAGCCAGCTCCTCTTCCTGTAGCCACGCACACGGTGAACCACACCGATCTTCCTCTAGTCGTGCGAGCCAGAAATAGAGTGAAGAAAGCAATCAAAAGAGGACTTTGTTAAAATCCTTATACAAATGGACTGAAAAAGAAAAAGGATCTAGCTAAAAGGTGGATAAAGGAGCCGAAAGTTTTCTCTAAAAAATTCTCTCAGAGCATAGCACAAAGGAATAAAGAGATGAAAGCCCTGAAAGCAAAGTCAAAGGATATGGGGGACTTCTGCTTCTGCCAATAGATGAAGCACTATGGAATTAATCGCCTGCTTTCAACAACTAGGAGCTCAGGCAAAATGTATGAAAACAACTACCCTCAGCTATTAGAAAACAGAGTAGGACAGATCACTGAGAGAAGGGAAACAACTGAGGTCCACCCTCCAATAGCCCAGCTTACTTCCCGGAGGTGGTTTCGGGGCTGAGGTGCAGGGAGGAGAAACTCACTGTATTGGGGGAACTCAAACCAAATCTTGTGGCTTTGAGCTTGCTAAAGTTAAGAGAAAGTTTGCACCAGCAGTCACACTCTCAGGCATTTACTTCAGAGAAACGGAAACTCATGTTCATACAAAAACCTGGTTGCAAATGTCCATAGCAGCTTTATTTGATTTTTTAAGCAACTTTATTTTTACTAGTCAAATCATGAAAACAATCTAAAAGCCCTTCATTGGATGATTGCTTGAAACTTTGTACATCTATATAATGGAATACTACTCAGCAATAAAATTTTTATATTTTTATACATTACCTTTTCAGCCAGGATAGTTGCTTTTTACAAATTAGTTTATATCATATTAATGTATCATTAGTTAAAAAGTAAAATTATTCACATTTGAAATGTTAACCTGTTAATGATTAAATTGAATTGTAGCTTATACTTAACAAACCTTTGTTCTTCTGGCCAAGATTCTCTCTGCTTGCTTATCAAGGACATCTAACTTCTCTAAGATTTTTTCTGCCATTGTCAATCACTAAATTCCTATTTTAAAATAAGGAGGAAGAAGAACAAATCAATTCGAATTTAAACATATAACTAGGCATAAGTTTTCAAAAGATCCACTTTTACATTACTGTTTTAGGTAAATAATAGAATTGTTTAAATCATACAGTAAATCATAGAATTGTAAATGTACCCAAGTTTTTTCAGTTGAAGGCCATATGATGAGAACTCCCAGATGTGTACAGACCCCATGAATTTTTAAATTTATGATAAAGGTGAGGGGGAGAAAGTTCATGATTACCATGAGAACCATATGTGACTTATACTTGAAGCAAGACCATGTGGCCTGAATTATATCTATTTCCTTTTTTTTTTCTTTTTAAGTTAAAAACATATCAAGCTAGGAGTAGGACTTAATTTTGGTGGTGGTGGTGTTGTTGAGACAGAGTCTTACTCTGTCACCCAGGCTGGAGTGCAGTGGCATGATCTTGGCTCACTGCAACCTCCGCCTCCTGGGTTCAAGCGATTTTCCTGCCTAAGCCTCCTGAATAGCTGGGATTACAGGCGTGCACCACCACACCCAGCTAATTTTTGTATTTTTAGTAGAGACAGGGTTTCACCATGTTGGCCAGGCTGGTCTCAAACTCCTGACCTCAAGTGATCCGCCTGTCTCAGCCTCCCAAAGTGCTGGGATTACAGATGTGAGCCACCGTACCCAGCCAGGAGTAGGACTTTGGACATATCTATTTTCTTTCTGTCATGATATAATTTTAATCAAAGTAAATGCAAGGAACTCATATTTCTATAATTAATTGCTTCAAATTAAATTGGTCAGTGATCCAAGACTGTTAACAGCATGTAGCAGGTAATTAGTCACACATAAGTAGCAACAACTAAGCTGGAGAGGTTCCATTGCCATAATAGTTCGTATTTCCTAGTTAATTAATATTGCTAACAGTCTCATCTGAGGTCAAGCAGTCCATATTAAGCTTAGGGAGCTGTATAAGACATCAGAACCTGGTCTAATTTATTACATCTTCAGATGAGAAAACTGAAGGCCACAAAGTACCCTATTAGTGTAGTAGAAATAGCTAGGGCAGAGTAGAGGCAAGAATCCAGGAATATCAACCCAAAACTCCCTTTATTTATTTATTTATTTAAAAAATCTGTGTAGATGAGCCAGGCACAGTGGCTCATGCCTGTAATCCCAGCACTTTGGGAGGCTGAGGCAGGCAGATCACTTGAGGTCAGGAGGTCAAGACCAGCCTGGCCAACATAGTGAAACCCTGTCTCTACTAAAGATACAAAAATTAGCCGGGCATGGTGGCACATGCTTGTAATCCCAGCGACTTGGGAGGCTGAGGAGGAGGATCACTTGAACCCAGAAGGCAGAGGTTGCAGTGAGCCGAGATGGTGTGCCACTGTGCTCCAGCCTGGCTGACAGAGTAAGACTCTGTCTCAAAAAGAAAAAAAAAGATAGTGTAGGTGTCTATGCAGTCAGTATATTTTTGCTCACTGAATTAAATGGGCTCCAGGGGCATTTAAGTGTAAAAGTTATATAGTTCACAGAAAGTACAGAATCATCAATGTTTTCAGTGAACATTAATGTTAAGGTTCTTTCCAGCTCAAAAAAAATATGATATTTCTCCTATATTGTATATTATTCCAGCAGTGCCACATGGAGACAACAGTTCATCAAAGGAGAAAGATTCAGGATCCTATGCCAAAAGTTTACATTATTTTGTAATTGGTTTCTTTCAGCTTTTTTTTTTTTTTTTTTACTCTTTTTTCCTTCACCATACATTGCCCTGAGTATGAATTCTTCATGCACTGATAGTGACATCCCATTCCAGCATGCCCTCTATCATGTCACTACATCCAGATTTTCCCTCCATCACATGATGTAGTCCAGTGTGACAAAGAAATTACACAGACGGCCTGGGTGTGGTGGTGTGTGCCTATAATCCCAGCTACTTGGGAGGCTGATGCAAGAGGATTGCTTGACCCTAGGAATTTGAGACCACTCTGGGCAACATAGCAAGACCTCATCTCAAAAAGAGAAAAAGAAAAGTAGCCGGGCACAGTAGCACACATCTATAGTCCCAGCTGCTGGGGAGGCTGAGGTGGGAGGATCAAAAGGATCATTTGAGTCCAGGAGTTCGAGGCTGCAGTGACCTATGATCATGCTACTGCACTCCTGCTTTGGTGACAAACAGAGCAAGACCCCATTTCTTTAAAAAAATGTGACACAGAGGAAATTCTGGGCCATAAGGGTACAAGCAGATAGCATGCCTTGTGACAAACCACACAACTTCAGGTTGCATGCTGGGGAGATCCAGGAATGTGAAAGCTGATCATACAAAATGGGTCACTCTTATGGTTCCTAACTAAAACACAGTGAGAAGTCAGGGTAAGAGAAAACACTCAGGGCACAGAACATTGCTCCAAACTGCAGTCCATCTGCAAGTCTGGCAGCTGAAATTGACTGCTGTAACCTAAACCAGTTGTACCTAATAGCTACTGAAAAGACCTGTGGCCAATTTTGCCCACAACCTTCACTTACCAATCTTGTCAGTGCCTCAAAACCTCACTAGTGCCAATTTGTAACATTTCCTGGTTTTATAAAACCTCTAACCTATTCTTTGTTCTTCAGAATATACTGAAGACTACTGCTCTGTGTGTATACCCTAATTGCAATTATTTCCTCCCAAATAAACATTTTGATTTTAGAGATTAGTCTCTCTATTTTATTTGACATTGACAGGGTAAAGGCATTAGCACAATGTGAATGCTTATGACTTTCTGGGTTTCTTACAGAACAATAGGGGACAGATTTTGAAAGAGAATATAGATTATGATTATGTGGACATATTGTCTTTTCAGACCCAAGAACCATTCCTCTTGTAAAACTAAACTAAAACTCTCCAAGGAGTTTTAGCTTTTCTGTTTCCCTTAAACATAATATGAGTTCAAGGGGATGGAGAAGGCGCTCATATTCCCCACTTAAGTTTATTTTACTGGAGACAAAGATTTCTGTTTTTCAGCAAGACACAGGTAAATAACCGGAAGAATCAATGTATTGAAGTGAATGAGTTTCCCAGTTTGGGGAAGGTATAAACTACATGAAGGCCAGCTGAAACAATGCTGCTTACTTGTGAGAAAGAACAGAAAGCAGATCTTTTTAGAGTAAGGTGTCCTACACCTCTCACTTTTAATCACCCCATCTTCAACACCACGTAGGACATTTTAAGAGGCAAAATGTCATCCCATTGTACACACACACACACGCACGCACGCACATGCACACACAGCTGTATTTTTCTATATATAGTTAACCATAGCATGAAATAATTTTTATGTTTTTGCTTTAAAAATATTTTGCTAAGAGTAAATTATTTGGCTGTGAATGATTTCTGGAAAATCATTGTGCAGATCATGAATTTTTTTGAAGTGAGAAAAACCAATTATTTTCAAGGGTCAACAACAGTTTTATGAATACTAAATTTGACAGTTAATGAAATCGACTAAATGTTAGTTTTGTAGTGTTAATTTCATAGCTTGACACCAATACAATTTTTTCAGTTTGCAAATTCTTTTCTCCCATTGGTCTTTGGCAATGTGCCAATGGTGCATAATGGATAAACGGCCCTGGGAAAAAGTGGAAGTGAGGAAACACTACACATGAACTTGCTTGTTTTCATCATTATATTTCATAAGCTCATCAAGGGCCTATTTTGTGTCTCCTCAAATAAATGCTGAGAGCAAAGGAACATCAGTACTAATATGATGGTGTTCCCCAACTATTTTGCATAAACTAACCACTAATCTCTTAATGCAAGATGAATCAAGATGACATTAAATGGACAGGGTGCAGTGGCTCACACCTGTAATCTCAGCACTTTGGGAGGCCGAGGCAGGTGGATCACTTGAGGTCAGGAGTTTCAGATCCGCCTGGCCAACATGGTGAAACCCTGTCTCTACTAAAAATACAAAAAGTTAGCCGTCCCAGCTACTCAGGAGTCTGAGGTGGGAGAATTGCTTGAACTTGGGAGGTGGAGGTGGCAGGGAGCTGAGATCACGCCACTGCACTCCAGCCTGGGTGACAGAGCAAGACTCTGTCATATATATACACATATATATTTAATATATAATATATATATAAAATATATATATAAAATGTTCCTCAGTGTGATCTATGTTTATGTCCTTTATTATATCTTTTTAATTTTAATATATACTTTGGTGTTCCTACTTTATACTTCTTTTTCTATGAACATATATTATTATTTGATGATAAGCATTTATTTGTTCATTTGGTCACTGGCTACCTAAATGTATTACATGAAGACATTGTACTAGGTATTCTATCAAATTTACTGAGGAAGTTGGCACCTGGTAAACATTTTCCCTTGTGATCTCCATCTTCCTAGGCAAGGGAGATGCTCTCTCCTATTTCACTAAGAAAACAGACACCACCAAGCAAGAGCTTCTTCAGCTCCTACCTCTCATACCAAAGTATTATTCATTCCCAACCCTTCTGCACTTCAATTTTAACAGAGGCGTTGGCTCTCCCACCCAAAGCTAATCCCTCCTGATGTACTCTAGACTCCATTACCTCCAGTCTCCTGAAAGAATTATCTCTATTAGTTATCCCCTTTCTCCTGCAACTTTTATCTATTTCCTTCACAAATTTATTCCTCTTAGCATGCTCAAATTTATTTGCAAAACAGAAAAAAATGTCTTCTCCGGACCCTGCTAGTTATCATCTCTCTCGTCTTCTGAAGCATTCTACTTAGAGTTGGGGGAAGTGCTCTCATCTAGAATATAGGGTTCTGATGTGGTCACAGAAGCCTAACTCATAGAATCTCAGGGGTGGAATGGATCAGTGGCCTCTCACAGAATTCTTTGAACAGTGGGGCAACATTAACATCAAGAAGACAGACCTTTCTTAAGCTTGCTTTGATTTTCATTGCCATTGTCCTTCTTCAAACCTTCAGGTTGTTACTTTCCCTCCTTTGGGTTATCAAACTATACACCCCCCTAATTTGCCTGCCCCAAACCTTCCTCCTCATTCCTCAAATATTGATTCTTTGAAATGCCATCAGGCTGGGCATGGTGGCTCACACCTGTAATCCCAGCACTTTGGGAGGCCAAGGCAGGCGGATCACTTGACGTCAGGAGTTCGAGACTAGCCTGGCCAACATGATGAAACCCCGTCTCTATTAAAAAAAGAAAAATACGCCGGGCATGGTGGTGCATGTTTGTAGTCCTAGCTAGTCTGGAGGCTGAGGCAGGAGAATCACATGAACCCGGGAGGTAGAGGTTGCAGTGAGCTAAGATCACACTACTGAACTCCAGCCTAGTGACACAGTGAGACTCCTTCTCAAAAACAAACAAACAAAATGCCATCAGAGCTGTCTTTCTTAAACAGGACACTGATCAGGACCAGCTCCAGCCCACAAACCTTGGCTTGCTCTCATAACCTGAAGAACGCCCAAACTCTTCCGAGGACACATGAGACCACTGAAGAAAAGACAGTCCAGGATCTGGCTCAGCCCACCTTTCTAGTGTATTCATCTTACCCCTTTGTGTTCCACCATTTTCTACCATTCTTACTTCCTGGACACGTCCTGCCCTTTTCCCAAGCACACCCTTTACTCATGCATTTCCTTCTACTCAGAATGTTCTCCCACATGTCTTCCAGTCAAAAGCCTACTCTTTTATCAAATATGGTATAAAGACTACCTCTTCTTTTTTTTCTTCTTCGCAGTCTAGGCTGGAGTGCAGTGGCTGCAATCTCAGCTCACTGCAAACTCCGCCTCCCGGGTTCAAGCGATTCTCAGCCTCAGCCTCCTGAGTAGCTGGGATTACAGGTGCCCGACACCATGCCCAGCTAATTTTTGTATTTTTAATAGAGACGGGGTTTCACCATATTGGCCAGGCTGGTCTCAAACTTCTGATCTTGTGATCCACCTGCCTCAGCCTCCCAAAGTGCTGGGATTACAGGCGCGAGCCACAGCACCCAGCCAAGACTACCTCTTCTATGAAACTTTCCTTGGCATTATCTCATTCCTTGTCTGGGTGACAGTCTATTTGTTGTGTGCTCCTGGCCTCAAGCAACCCTCCAGCCTCTCAGCCTCCTGAGTAGCTGAGATTACAGGCAAGAACCACCACACCAGGTTTTAAGAGGTTTACTCGCTGGGTGTGGTGGCTCACATCTGTAATCCCAGCACTTCGGGAAGCTGAGGCAGGCGGATCAGTTGCATGGTAGTGCACGCCTGTAATCCCAGCTACTTTGGAGGCTGAGGCAGGAGAATAACCTGAACCTAGGTGGTAGAGGTTGCAGTGAGCCGTGATTGTGGCACTGCACTCCAGCCTGGGTGACAGAGTGAGTCTCCATCTCAAAAAAAAAAAAAAAGAGGTTTACTCTTTGACAAATCTCTTCTTCACTAGGTTGAAAACTCATTTAAAGCAAGAATTGACTTACTTACCTCTGAATCTCAGCCTCAGGCAAAGCATTTTACATCTGAGAGGGATTTGAAAATTACAATTTAATTTGCAGATGTCTCTGAATATAACTTTTTAGGAAGAGTAATCCTAATTTATCTGTAATAAATGATGTTACTTCATAATGATTTACTGGAAGATGAAATAAAAAGTTGAGTGAATTATTATAAAATGGGGTTCTTGCCAATCTAAACTTGGTAAAAGTGTTTTGAAAGGAAACTTGGATTTATGTTCTTAATTTCTAGCTCAGTAGTGACAGTTTTTGTTGTTGTTGTTTGTTTTTAAAGAACACGATGAAATAGAGGCCATACCAATTGGGGCAGAATGAATTCCCAATTACTCTCACAGTGAATCATCTACAGGCCTCACTGCAAAGGCTTGTTCACAACAAAAATTGTAGGTCAATATTATTAGCACATCAGAGACTCAGTCATATCTAAAATAAAAATGTCTTACATATTTTAAGAGAACAATTTTGTTTTAACAGCACCTTTGGGACTAAAAACAAACAAAAATAACAAAACCCAGGGTCATCAACATAATAGGCTCAGCTGAGAAAGGTTCTTCAGCAAGTTCTAAACAACTCAGGAAAACTAAGAATCTCTAAAGTCACAAACTAAAGGCCTGAGAAATTATCTAGAAAATGGAGGCTTAAATTAAAATTCACTTTCATTATGTGGCTTTATTAGTTCAAACGCTTACTCCTTGAGGACAAGGCCACTTCTTACACTTTTATCTGACATAGCCCACTATTGAGACCACAGTAAGGACTCACTTCATCTGTTAAATGATTAATGTTGACTCAATAATTAGATAACTGGCTGAGTTATCTCCATCTCACATTCCAAGGACAGACTTAGGGGAATCTTTTTTCTTTAAATCCAAAATGTTGATAAATAGCCCGTATTATAGGCTGAATTATGTTGTCCCCAAATTCATATGTTGACGTCCTAGGCCCCAGGATCTCAGAATGTGATTATGTTTGGGCACACAGCCTTTAAAGAGTAAAGTTAAAATGCGGTTGTTAGGGCAGGCCCCTGGCCAGTGACTGGTGTCCTATAAGAAGAGGAGATTAGGACACCGAGGATACACAGAGGAAAGTCCTTGTGAAGATTCAGTGAGAAGGCAGGGCAGCACCCCAAGCCAAGGAGTGAGGCCTCTGAATAAAACAACCCTGCCCACCCCTTCATTTCCAACTTTCAGTCTCTAGAACTGTGAGAAAACAAATTTCTGTTGTTTAGCCACTCCGTCTGTGATGTTTTGTCATGGCAGTCCCCACAAGCTAGTACAGCCCAGGCACTGAGAACTAATTTAAAAACCCAACTCATGTGCTTAGCGCTACATTATGAATTTTCTTGCTACTTATTTATTTATTTTTATTTTTGAGACAGGGTCTCACTCACTCAGTCACCCAGGCTGGAGTGCAGTGGCTGCGATTTCAGCTCACTGCAGCCTCCGCCTCCCAGGTTCAAGTGAGTCTCCTGCCTCAGCCTCCCGAGTAGCTGGGACTACAAGGCACACACCACCATGTCCATCTAGTTTTTGTATTTTTAGTACAGACGGGGTTTCACCATTTTGGCCAGGTTGGTTTCGAACTCCTGGTCTCAAGTGATCTGCGCGCCTCAGCCTCCCAAAGTGCTGGGATTACAGGCATGAGCCACCGCGCCCGGCCTGGAAGGGAAGTTTCTAAGAAAAACTATTAAGGAATTTTAAAACTATGATGTACGTGTATTGTGGAGTATTATTGTGGTATTGTGGAGTATTATTGTGGGCAACTAGTCAGATAATAATTGGAAGAATTGATTAGCCAGCTCGAAATCGCAGCACAATTACCGCAGGGGTGATCCGCTCCCACCAGCCATTCCAGGAGGCTGGAAGTCAATTTGGAAGTGTATCCATTAAGTGGCCCAGGCGCCTCCATCTCGCTGGAAACGTAGGGAACCCGACTGAAACGCTCTATGCCTATGGTCGTTTCACGGGAGAGCAAAATTATGGGCAATATTGAGGACGCTCATTAATATTTAGTTTAGAAGACGGAAAGGTTCTTCAGCGAACCTGGAAGAGGCCCCCGGGCCCGCCTCCCGCCGCGGTCCCACACTAGCCTGACCTGACCCACACTCTCCCTGTCGAGGCCCCGCTAGAGAACGTCCCACCCACTACAGGGACAGAAAGGCCGTTTATGTAAAACGATGTTTTTCCTATTACGCCTCCCACCCTCGTACAAATTTTGATTTTCCGCTTTTCCAACGCTTCCGCACCCTGAAACAAACCTCGTCTTCCTTTCCTCCCTCTTCTGGCTCCGAGGGCTACGCGCCCCGCCCCCACCCTTCAGTACCTTAGCAACGCGTCCTCCGTCCGTAGAAAACGGTTTCCGATCTCTGCCCACTTCTGAAAGGCCTAGAGAGCAGAGTTCTCTTCTCAGAGGGGCTTCGCCCACAGACTTTTGTCACTAAAAGCCCAGACTCCCCAGATGCTTACGGATATTAATACCGATTATGCTGAAGGAGTGGAAGGAGAGTCAAGTAAAGGAAGAAGATCAGGTAAAAAGAACTGGAGAACAGTGACTTTGTTTCCTCTTATTGTACCTCCTTTCTCCTTTTGTGCTATCCTGGAAACATCAAATTTCAAAAAGAAGCTTACAAAGTCCACCATGCAGCTTGCGGGTCTGAATGGAAGTCAACAGTTTATATTTGAATATTTGATGGAAGATTGCTTTCATGGCTTATGGTATTTAAAAACAACAATAAAAACAAAAAACTATTTTATTTCCAAGACCAAGAAACCTCCCATGTGCTTAGTAAAATCACCCCTGTATTACTCAAGTTGTATAGCAAACTTGGCTGCACACACATACCATGTAGCATTTTTATGAGACATAATGGAGATACACTCTGACGTACATTCTGCTGTATTTACTGTATCCTAAGGAAACATTTGTCCTTATTGCTCACTTGTGTGAGCAGAAAATGCACTAAGGCCATGGGAATAATTTATTTTTAGAGTCATAATCTAAGAACTACTGACTTGAAAACAGCTTGTATTTAATTAAAAATGATGGGGAATTTCACAACATTGGTTAAATTTTAAGTCAGGGGTTGGTCATCATTCCAAGAATATACCTTATCTGATGCATCAAAATAGGAGGAAAAAAGCTTTAAAAAACAGCATTTCAACATCTGTGAAAAGAAGAGGGAAAAAAACACCTGCATTAGTCATCACAAGTCCGTGCTAGTGGCAATGGTAAAACTGCAAAAAAAAAAAAAAAAAAAAAAAGTATAGTTATGTAGCAATCCAAATTTGGCTAGAAATTGATATTAATAGTCAAGGCATGAAAACACTGGAATCAATGTATTTCAAATATTTGAAAAACAAACAATACAATAATTAAAAGTAGAAGGTAGTTTGATTCTTTTCTTTTTTTTTTTCTTTTTAAGGCAAAGTCTTGCTCTGTTGCACAGACTGGAGCACAGTGGCGTGATCATAGCCCACTGCAACCTCAACCTCCTGGGCTCAAGTGATCCTCCCACCTCAGCCTCCCTAGTAGCTAGGACTACAGATGCATGCCACTATGCCTAGCTAATTTTTTTATTTCTATTTTTTGTAGAGACAGGGGCCTCACTCTGTTGCCCAGGCTGGTCTTGAACTTCTGGGCTCAAGTGATCCTCTTGCCTTGTTTTCCCAGAGTGCTGGAATGTACAGATGTGGGTAGTCACTGCGGCTGGCCAAGGTAGTTTGATTCTATTTTATTATTTTAAGCCATATACATTCAAGAACAATGATTTGTATGGAATTGATAACTGGAATCTAGTTGATAGTGGTGATTTGTCTAGGATTGTTATAGTACCTTCAGCTCAAAAATTTGCACAGAGGTGAAAATTAGCTTCTTAAGTAAAGAATTGAGTTCAGAAATGTTAGCTACTCATTAATCTTCAGTCAATAAAATTTATAAAGCACAAATCTTATGAAATTCTTAGAATATTATCATTATCTCAGCTAATATTTATGGAACATGTTCTGTATGCCAGGTACTAGGCTACAATTTTAAAATAGTTCTAATTTCATCCTTTACTTTCCATTCTTAAAACTTAATCAGTATCTATGAAAAAGGTATTATCTTTGATTTTAGAAAAGACCTGACTGAAACACAAAGAAATTATGTGATTTGCCCAACATCATATAATTAGTAAGTATAAATATTAATATAAGACAAAGTACAAAGTATTTTCTCTTTAATAACAAATGCTCCGTAAATGTACACAAAAAAGAATTCAAGTGGATTTTTTCCTAACTACTTTAATTGCTCTCAGTTAAATTCAGTATTTACTGAATGAGTTCATGAACCTATTATAGATAAATATGGGGTAAAGGAGCCTAATGAATGTTTTATTTTAAAAGTATACAGATTTCTTAAAATATAAACTGTTTTCTGTAAGAAAGCAAAGAAAGTAAAATCTGCAGACTTTTTGCTACTTCCTTTGAAGTAGGCCAACTACAAAGTTAGAAGGCACGTTCCCCAAAACTGCCCTTACTCTGACACTAAGTTCAGGGGGCCGTCAAAACCCTGAATAGAACCCTCAGGGTCGATAATTTGCTAGAAAGACTCACAGACCTCACTGAAAGCTATTGTATTTGGGGTTATAGTTTACTACAGGGAAAGGTTACAGATTACAACTAGCCAAGGAAAGAAGTTCACAGGGCAGAGTCAGTCCAGAAATACCAAATGTGGAGCTTTTATTGTCCTCTTCCTGTGGCGTCAGGACAGGTTACTCCCCAGCATTGTTGAATGGCAATGCACACATAGAGATTTGCTACCCAGGGAAGCTCACCCAAGCGTCGTGTTCAGTTTGTAGTGGGGCTTCATCAGACAGGCATAATTGGTCAATTGCCCACATGGTTAGTCTCTGTCTCCAAGCTGGCAGATACCACGTGACCCAAAGCCCTTGCTCTAAGTCACACTGTTGATCTTTCTGGAGTCCCCACCCTAAGACTATGCAGGTGTGGCCACCTCCCCATCCTAAATCACATTGTTAGACTATCCAATATGACTCAAGATCTTCAGGCAAACAAAGATCTTCCTATCAGGCATAACATTCCTAGGGCCCAAAGATTATGTCTCAGAAGGCAAGGGCAAAGGCCAGATTTTCTTTTCTTTGGGCAAGAGAGTCTTTCCTATAAATTCTTTACTACACAACTACTAGGTTTAGAAAGTATCAAAATTTGTGCTTAATCATCCCAAATATGAAAATCCTGTGATTTCCCACCCCTGCTTTCTGTCCTTTCTTGAGAAAAGAGCATTTTTTTCCCCTGGCCTACACAAACCATGAAGCCTGGGAGACGTGTCAGTGTTCTTCACCGTTCCTAATGTTCCTTCCACACCTTTATGTTTCTTCTTCCCTAGGAAAAGCTGCCTCTTCTGAGGTTCATGACAACTCTCTCTCCATATGTATTTACTAACAAATTCCCAGGCACTTCTCACTTTTACAGATTTGGGGACTTTCTCAATGTTCTTTTCCATATTAAATCCGTTAAGCCAATAGTTCTGCCTCAAAACTCTTTACCTTTCCAGATTAAAGCTATCTTTACTTCATTATCCCCTAACTCTGAAATATTAAGCTCTAGCAGGTCCTCTCTGATCACTGCGTTTTATCCCATTTGCCCATTACCTCTCTTTTTCTAGATAATATGCTCGTTGGTCACTTAATGACCTTCTGTTTCCTATTTGTGAATCCAATGGATATCTTTCAGGTCCTATGTTACTTGACATCTCTTCTGAATTGGACACGTTTTACTTCTGGCTCTTTGAAACATTCCCTTCCTTTGGCTTCAATTACACAACTCTCTCCTACTTTTCTTCCCCTGCCTGCTGTAAATAATCATTGTCCCCTGGGATTCTTTCTTGTTTGTTTTTTGGATTTTTTCTTCTCCCTTTGTTTCCTTCATAGGCTTGACATCCCCTTCAGAATTCAGTCAAAACCGTGCAGCATAGAATATTAGAACTTCTACCATCTGAGCCCATTCTATGTTGAACTGAGTTCTGATTGTCTTTCCAGCTTTATCTCAGCCAACCCATGGTACAGAAAGTGACTACCTTGTAACCTAATGGGAACTTTTACAAAGTTTTGGGCTTTTTATATCTGTGTCTTTTCATGCCATTCCCTCAGCACAGGGACTTCAGAACTTCTGCAGCCCCCTGGTTCTAAGGATGGAGAAAGTTATCTATGTTAGGCCAATGAGATCACAACACCCTGACCACAGTGACTGGCTCAGGGAGAGGCAGGTGACTAACGGGAGGCCGGTTAGGGCCCAGAAAATTTGATTCCGGGACTTTGAGCCTTCAGGGAAGATGACTTCTTCTTCCAGTCTGCCTGTTAAGACAATTTGAGTCTTACGCTGTGGGAGCCACTATGAAGAGCCTGAGAGTGGAGTCCCCCCAGGGGAAGCAAACTGAGAGCTGGACCTGGGCAGTATCATTTGAGCCCAGGGTCAAGCTATCACTGAAGCTAGAGCTACTTCTAGACCTCTTCAGCTAACATGATCCAATAAGTTCTCTTTGTGTATAAACCAGTCTGATTTAGTTTTCCATAGAAGCCTAGAGACTGATAATGTGCTCAACAAATATTTGTCAAATGAGTGGAAACCATAAAATGGACAGAATAACTATCTCAGAGGGCTGGTCTGAGAAGTAAATGATTTACCAATCATTTACTTTTGCTAGGCCAAGCACAGTACCTAGCAAAAAGCAGGTATATGAATGTTCATTATGTTTCTATGCCTCCAGCACTCTCCCTGTCACCACACAGCCACACAACATAGCTCAGAAACTGCTACCTGAACTTGATTATAAGTTCTAAGAAAACTCATATTCACAAAAATTTGACTTCTTCAGTCCTAGGTTTTTCCCCATAAATCTTTTTCTTCTATTAAAGACCACAACTTAATATTTATTTATGTTTTTAAAGATCACAACTGTAAACATATTCATTTGTATAGCATCTGCTATAGTTTGAATATTTGTCCCCTCCAAAACTCATGTTGAACTTTAATCCCCAATGTGGCAGTATTGAGAGGTGAGGCCTTAATTTATTTTTTTAAATAAAGATAAAAGTCTTGCTATGTTGCCCAGGCTAGTTTCAAACTCCCGGACTCAAGGGATCCTCTACCTCAGCCTCTCCAGTAGCTGTCCTACAGGCAAGACCCACTGCACCCAGCTTGGTGGGGCCTTTAAAAGGTTCTTGGGTCATAAGGGCAGAGCCCTTATGAATGGATTAATGAATTATGTGTTAACGGATTAATGGATTATCATGAGAGTGGGA